TCATGTAAGTGTTTTAATTATGTGGGCAATGGGATTATACATAAGTTATACGAAGTTTCTAACCTTTTTATTCACTGTTGTAGATATTAATTTATTTTCACTGTACGTATATTACTTTTTATCGCAAAATATTTAACGGATCTCTTCATCGGCCTTTATATACAGATTCTTGGGACCTAGTCTTTCACTGACGACGCCGTAACCAGTTAGGCTGTCATAACGAGATAGAATTTTCATATCTTGCCTTCGGATACCGACTTTTGTATTTTTCGCTAACAACATCAAACCTAGATGTCAGATGACATTTTGTCAACTTTGTTCATTTCCGTCGTGCATTATCGATTTCTGTTTCCTACTTTAACGAAATATTTTATTCCACAGATCCTTTTTTCGGCTTTTAAACCGTGGTAATTAGAAAAAAAATCGTACCTTCTGACAAAAAGAACTGATTAATACTACTCACATCGATAAAACAGCGTGGAATAGAGCCAGAAAAAAAAGACAAAGTCAGAATATTTTCTTTTCTTTCTATGTGTCGTGTCCTTTCAGGACGTAGGAGATCATGGTTCTCCACTTCCCTCTATCCCTTGTAGCTCTCAACAAGTTCCTTCCTCTACCACCTCCCCCAGACCACATTGTGTCATCCCCTTGTTTAAGGCCGCCAGGTATGTCATGCGTTGATTTCCCTTTCCCTCTATTCGACCTGTGAGTATCAGATTCTCCAGGCCTTCCTTCCTCATTATGTGTCTCAGGAAATTCAGCTGCCTTTTCCTGATGTTAAGTATAAGCCTCCTCCTTGTTTGCATCCTCTCTAAGACTTCATCGTTGCTCACACGCTCGGTCCATGATATCCTTAGCATCCTTCTGTAGAACCACATCTCCGTCGCCTCGAGTCTCTTCTTCATTGAGGAAATTGTCCTACATTCTCTGCCGTAATTTTACGATAGCGACAATTCAAAAGTCAGTTAGAAAGTTATTTTCGCGACCAGGGATGAATGTAAACGTAATTATTGAATAGGGCTATTATATTTTGTGACGAAAAGATATTGAAAAAGGTTAAAAAAAAAAAAAAAAATTAATACATTTCAAATATGAAATCGCCCGGAATTAAATTAATATGGCTACTGTATGTACAATTTATTCATAAATATTTACCCTGGCTCCCCACTGAGACTGGAGGTGACACAAGATCGGGTTTAATATAGGGAACCCGAGCCCATACCCTCGGGTCAAGAACAAAAATTTCCAGAGCCCTTGCAAACGTCGGTTGCGCTGGCATCGGTGCGAGCACCGATCCCTCTCTCCAGTGCAGCCTCGGGTATCTGTGCCCCAGGGTCGGGCACCTCACAGTGTGATTTTCCTCAGTTGCGACTCTGTCCTCCGATGGAGCCACAACAGAATCGCACTCTGCCCAAAGACAGAGACGCAACTGAGAGATGATAAAAAACTAACCGCCTTGCTAGATTTGACGAGAATCCTAATTCGTTATCTAAAATCAATAAGTAACTTCCTGCAGAAACATTTCTTGTAACTAATTTAAATATTTTTCTAATTCACAATTAGCTTCCATTTCATGAACTACAAGGGCCGATTACCATATTCTTTTTTAATATTTATAATTTGTAATAAAATTGTTTCTAGTCAGTGCCACACACCAAAGAAGACGTTACTGAATAAAATCCGCTTTTTATTTCCCGTGTAAACAAATTACTAATTATATTATTTTTATTACATATCAATGTTTTGATCTCACCGTGCAGCAGTATTCATTAAACCATCATTGAGATCATTATTACCACAATCAATTTGATCTGCACTAGGTGCTAAACATTGGTATCCTTGTGCCAGACCAAGCTAAATTTCGAAAGTAGCAATATTCTGCGTACTAGAGATAGAAATTAATCTCAAAGACCTTTACAATGATAATCGGTTTGATGCTAACGCAATGCTTCACATTTGTATCCTTGTGCCAGACCAAGCTAAATTTCAAAATTAGAAATATTCTGCAGACTGGAGATAGAAATTTAATCTAAATTCAAATTTGTGTTCTTCTACCAGACCGTGCTATGTTAAGTAAGTGTTATTTTGTGGAGAATCATGTTTGTTTTGCAGACTTATTCTGTTACCGTGAGTTTGATCCTTACTGGGCGCGTCATATTTGTGGCCCCCTTGGAAGATTAAGTTAAGTCAATTGAAGAACATCCTTCAACCCGATTATCTCGTTTTTTTTTTGTTTTTGTTTTTTATCTTCGACCGGTCCTTTTTTTCCCCCATAAATAAAAAAACAATTTGACCTTTAATGAATCTTTTCCAGTCGTCTGCCTTCATAACACACACACACACATATATATATATATATATATATATATATATATATATATATGACGTCTTAACCGATGTCATGATATCTTACTTTCTTCATTTACATGAATGGATTTATCAAAAGATCTGTGCCCATCATGATTATCGCTTGCATCACTATTCAGACTTCCGGAACGACCTTTAAAAAAAGATAGGGAAATGAATATGTTATATTTAGAAAAAAAAAACTCTTGTGTTGTTCATAATACTGTTGATCTGTTCATACTTAGATCACACATTTATCGCCATCTTTCCTCTCCCACTCTTAAAAAAAAATAAATAAGCACTTCTCGGTTTATTTGATCAACTTTGTAAAAAGATATAAAATGTCTACAAAATCAATGAAGACAATAATTAATTTATTTTCAGTTTCTATGAAGCGAGAAACATTATTAGAGGAAGTGAGGATAAAATACTTTTTATTTACTAATGAAAGTCTCTTTACACATACACACACGGGCGCGACACACACGCCCACATATATATTTGTGTGCGCGTGTGTGTATGTAGGTACATTTAGGCAGCATATTTTCATTCAAACATGTTTCATTGAATAATGTAGATATATTGTGTCTACTATTTTCATACTTATGAATTTCATCTTAACATCAAGAAACTATACAATGCGTATTTAAATGTCCATTAAGTAACATACTTGTTGAAAACACAAAAATCATAGCGCCATCTACATACAAAAAAAGGCTAAAAATAATGGAAGTCTCTTTAATAAAAAAACAAAAAACACTATAATATCAGCTATGAACATGGAACAAATATCTTGACCGTGTTTTGAAAATGAAAACATAAATTCATACATGCAGCAAAATATTTCTTGTTAACAGTTAATGTATTTCAACTTTGAAAATGGCTAAATGTATAGCCAAAAGCGCTCGGATAAAAAGAGAAAGTGGACAGTTTTTTATATAATTTAACAACCTAAAAGAAAAAAAGAATAAGTTCATATTAAGATCACATGTGGAATTGTATAAAATCAAACACCTTGTCCACCGTATTTAATGAAACGTGCATGAAAGAAGGATTGCTGCCTAAATACACAAATTAATTATATATATATATATATACATTAAGAATTGGACAAAGTCCGACAATTTATTAAAGACATTTTTATGTTTAACATTCTTTTTATAGATACAAGTATTTAAGTAAATGCTCTGTTTATAATAAACAGTATTAAATAACATTTACCGGCCTGAATGTCCGAGAAATTTTCATAGAAAATATTCGTCCTTTGACAGGATTCGAAACTGCATCCTATACTGAACCGTCATTTACGCTGACGTGCCTTAACCGACTTGGCCACAAAGGAGCGTAAATTCGACCTTGACTACCGAAAGTTATTTAATGCTGATTGAAAAACAATTTGAAAATTGTTTTTCAATCTGTAATTTCAATCAATTATTTTACATGAAGCTACTACTTGTATCTGACGATACAAATAGCTTCATGTATAATAATTTCAGGTATTTTATTTTGTATTATTAGTGTAAGAGAGAAGATAGTGAAGGAAAGCGAGAAGAACGGACTAAGTATCAATTCCAAGAAGATGGAATGGACGGTGCTTACCAAGAGGAATCGCACTGCATGCAAGTTGTAAATTGGGATATCAAAATCAAAAAGGTACAAACATTTAAATATCTGGGAAATGATGTAACAGAGGACCAAAAGTGTGACTCCGAAATCCGAAGTCTCATTAGGATAGCCAAAGATGCCTTCCAAAAGGTAAGCAAAGTGTTAAGAAACATAAAATAATTTCTTTAAAAACAAAGAAAAGAGTACTGAAGGTAATATCAATCCTTCTATATAGCAGTGAATATCGAACAATGTCTTCAGAGATGAAGAAGACAATTGAAGCAACATAATTGTGGTTCTACAGAAGGATGCTGAGAATATCAAGAACCAAAAGTAGGAGCAACGATGATATTTTAGAGAAACTGGCAACAAAAAAGGACTCTTATAATTAACATCAGAAAGAGACAGCTGAAATTTCTAGGGTATATAATGAGGAAAGACGACTTGGAAAATTTGGTACTCAGAGGACATATTGAAGGAAAGAGGAAAATATCACGTAATTTAACTAGAGAGCTTGAGTAAATAGATAACGGGACAAGGTTTATGAGATATAGAATAATGACAATTTATTAAAAGCTAAAAAGGACAGGACATTGAGGAGAGCCATTATAGCCAATATCCTGAAAGGACACGTCACATAGAAAAAAGTCTATTAAAGTGCAAGATAATTTATGTGTTGCATTTTGTCCATTTCTTGTCGGATATGAGTTGTCTTGTGCTCATCTTCCTTGTACCTATTATACTCGTGAGGGTGCTCGGTAAAAATGGCAGCGGTAAAAATGGCAGCGGTAAAAATGGCAGCGGAAAAAATGAAAACAGTAAAAATGGCAACGGTAAAAATGGCACCCCTCTCTCTTAATACGATATCTGTATCACTTGAATTTAACCTGTATTTTTTTCCTTTTATATTTGGTTTGCAGGTCTGAAAGTCTGAAGACTTTTTATAGATTTCATGAAGTCAAAATTATTACCTATGCAATAAGTGTTTGATATTCATTAATTACACATATATTATACATAGTTACACACACACACACACACACACACACACATATATATATATATATATATATATAGAGAGAGAGAGAGAGATAGATAGATAGATAGATAGATAGATAGATAGATAGATAGATAGATAGATATTTCCTATTGACACTGAAGCTGAAGAGTAAATGTCTAAGGTACGCTATTCTGAACACTTGCAAATAAATCTACAAACAAAACAAAAAAAAGAAAGATTAATCTTAGGTTCTAAAACAAGGGCCTATCATCAAGACACATACTTTTCAACGAATTGCTTTATGGGCTAAAGTTGAAAAAATAAAAAGAATTGTTTTAGAGAAAGAGAAAGAACAGTGATGGTCATTGTAAATCACTTTACCTCGTTGTTTTCGCGGCCGCGTCTGAACAAGAATGTGATGACCTGGGACACCGAGGTTTCATTTTGACCGTTGGGTCGGTCCTTAAGGTTTGATGGGCCAATTACATTTCCAAATTCTGGCCCGGAAATTAAAAGACGGCGCCAAAGGTAAGAATGGCCGCCGTCTAGTCGCAGAATAGAATCTCCCAGTTTCACTCTGGCAGCATAGGCTGGATTTATGGAGAACGAAAGAAAATAAAACAAATATAAAGCAAATAAAGCTCTTCTCCCCATGTCTTCTTTTTATTTATCTGGGGGATATTTTTTAATAAAATGCATGACAAAATTATTCTGTTATTATTATTATTATTATTATTCATACATATCTCTATAACGTAGATATACTTAAGTTAAACAATTATTCTTTAAATATACAAAAAGGCACCTGGGCCTGTCATTAAATAATTACTAGTTTTAACCCGTGAACAGTTTACGGTTTTCCTATTTAAAATTTCTGATGAATCTTATTTCATTAATTAATGATTGAACAAGCCCATGACGAGTTCCACGCAATAAAATATTCGTAGAAATTCCCCTAACGGATTCTTCAATATTTGATTATACAACTTTAACAAAATATTGCAATAACAATCATTGATATGAAAGTTGATAGTTAATTTAAGAAGTAAGGGGGTACAAATGAAAAGATTTCAAACAGACAGTCAGTCAGTTATGTGCCATGCATGATACACGCTTAGGCGATCATGTATCTTTCGATATATGAATGACGAGGTAGATTTTTCCCGCAGTAGGTTACCATTTTTTTACGGTAGTCCAGTTGCCATCCAAGGCTATAGAACCCGGTTTGTCCTGCTATTTACGCATAGCTGGGGGAGAAAAAGAGGATTCTTACCTTTCCCAAGGGTAATAGCCCGTAATTCGAACTCTGCTCTCCAATTCCTCAATCCGAGCGGCTACCCATTACTCCACTTCAGTTTCGATGAAACAGACATTAAACAATTCTATATTCCCTTTATTTCTTTCATTCTTTTTAACTGAAACCAAGTAGTGTTTTTTATATGTCTTTTGATTTCTCAGGCGATCAAATCGGAATATTACATTATATATGAAGTATTAGCAGATGTTAGATTCTTCTTTGTTATTTTCCTCATTTGTTTTTTTCTTTTACTGAAATCAAATATCGTCTCTAACCTTTGTCTTTTCACGCGATCAAAATGGAATAGTTCATTATTTATGCGTTATTGGCAGGGCGTAACGATCGTGCGAACTAACGAAGTGGGGGACTATCGCAATAATTGTATGATGTTTATTACCTCCCATAAATTAGCTAAAACAAATAATTTCTTATTTTAAGAAAGACTGAATGTCGGTCTTTATTATCTGCAAGATTAGCACCTGATACATGTTATCTGATATTTCACAAAAAGAAAAAGGAAAAAAAAAATGGAAAAAAAATCAGTAATTCATGGAGAGGTGCGTTTCTGTAGAAAGGTTAAAATTTTCAAGCTATATTTTCAAGTGTTGCTATATTATCGCATAAATATGAGTTGCAAGTTATTAGTTTACGAAGTTTTAATTTATCCTGCTTTATGACAGGGATGCTGGAAAATTACATTTACAGACGAAGAAGAAACTCGAGGTGACAGAGATGTGCTTCGCTCGATGGGTACTAATACTATCATGGCGAGAACACGTGACCAACGAGAAAGTTCCATTGAGAATCGGAACACGAAGGAAACAAAAGTTAAAATTAAAAAGAGAAAGTCTGAATTTCTGTGATATATTATAAATAAAGATTTCTTAAGGAATTTAACTCTCACGGAACATAATAAAAAGCGCGGAGGAAGCGAGAAACTGCGACTAAGTTATCAAATAATTTTAGGTGAATGGGCGGGGACTGATCAGAGACAGGTAGAGTAAAGAGTCAAATATGGCTTAGAGCAACAAAGGACAGGAAGTTGTAGAAAGCCATGATCGCCCACATACTGGAAGGACAAGGTACGTAAAAGACGAAGAAAGGAGATCGAATAAATTTGGCACAAAGCCCTATGTATGGGCCACCCAGTGAGGCTCAAACCGATTATGTGATAGATTACTTTGAGTTTAGTGTAAAATATTGGTCATTTGAAGATTGTGTACAAAATTTCAAATGCAATTCAGATAAATAATAATATTAGCTCTATTTTTGTCACCCTATTTTTTACTCTTAAATGTGGGTGATTTTATTTGTTATTAAAGTATATATATATATATATATATATATATATATATATATATATATATATATATATATATATAATTATAGATAACTAGACTCGTTTGAAAAACCCTCGAATTTTTGATTTGCTAATAATCAAATCAATCTCGAGGAAAAAAAAGGTTTAAAAAAGAAAGAGCTACAAACATGAACTTCGACAAAAAAAAAATCGCACAGATGCAGGTCTGAAGCCCAAAAAAAAACCCGATACGAGTAAACAACTAACTAACAAAAGAACTCAATACAACCGTAGAGCAGACCTAGATACACCTAGTGAGCCAGACAAACCTACCTAGGTTTCGGATCGTCAGGGAAATAAGGCCTTATTTCCCTGACGATATTTAGGTGAAACCTAGGTAGATTTGTCTATATATACTACATATATATCTATATATATATATATATATATATATATATATATATATATATATATATATATATAAAAAAAGAAAAAAATGTTGGGTGCATAATATACATTTTTCCTTAGTATTTTGTTTTTTTTTTTTTAAGAAGACAGTGCTCCATTTCTTTAAAGAGCTTTATTATAATAATATTTTTTTTGTTTAAAAATATGATTCCTTCAAGAACATAAGAGTTCTCATGTTTAAAAAACATATAAAGCCAAAAACCATATATTATAATTATTAAATATAAGTTGAATTGAGGTGTTTAGTTTAGGTTCATAAAATTTATTTCTTGAAAATGAAACAGGACTATTTTCAATTCAACAAAAAAATTCCTCAAACCATATAGAATTATATATATATGTATATATATATATATATATATATATATATATATATATATATATATATATTATGACAAACTGAAAAACAGTTTTTTCCAAATTGTCATACTATTTTAAAAAAATACTGTTTGCAGAAAATTATATATATATATATATATATATATATATATATATATATATATAAAAATAAATATATATATTTAGGCAACAAATTGTCTTTCAAAAGGCAATGTCTGATTAAATAAATTACAAGACATTATTTTGGCTTTTTTTTTGATAAAAAAATATGTTCATATTCGAATAACCTTCCGTGTATTAAAAATAAAATATGAGAAATGTGCTATAATTATGAAAAATTTCATATTACTACTAAATATGAACAACGTAAACCACTAAAGATGATCTCGGAAAAAAAAGAACAAAAAAAAAAACGATTTTCATAGTTATAGCATTTTCTCATTCTTTTTAATTGCAATACATGGAACGTTATCAAAAAAAGTAAAAAATTTTATTAAAAATTAAACAAACATAATATCTATAATTTATATATATATATATATATATATATATATATATATATATAACAATAATATATTTGAAGGATGAAGTTCTCAATATCAGAGAGGGGCGTATACAAAATATAATATATATATATATATATATATATATATATATATATATATATATTTATCATATTATTTAATTTACATTTATTCATTTTAGAAAACTATTCTTGAGCCTGGATGTGTAAATACAAAAGATGGGCTGGTAATGATATAAAAATGCTTCAAAGAAAGTGCTGTATATGATGAAAACTCAAGTGTTCAGTTGGACGTCCACTCTTATGCTACAAAATATTTTAAAGACAATTTGAAACGTCTCATTCTAATCTGAAACACCTGATATAAGCCCAATCATCAAACCGATATTATTTATTGAAAACATGTTTCATTAAATTAAAGGGTTTTGAAGACAGTAGACTGAAGCACTGTGATTAAACAAGTTAAAGCTCATTTCAGAGACGCCATCAAAATCCTGCTTTAAACAAATTTCATCTGTTATGTGATTTCGTCGTCCTTGAAATTAGAAAAGCTGGGCTAGTATCGCATTTAAAAGTCACTAATGAAATATGTTTTTCCTTTACCGGATTTTTTCTACAATAGCTCCTCTAGCATGCATAATATAAAAGAAAGGCACCATCCACATTGACTTTTTATCGTTCAAGATGAAGCGTCCACCATATATATATATATATTTATATATATATATATATATATATATATATATATATATATATATTAAAGTATAGCTTATTTTCCGATGATATTCTTTTATTTTACTTTTAATCCTTTCAAGTTCCCGATTTAATTTCTTGGTCGCTGTACAAAACAGATTAAGAAATTCAACATTTTTATTTTTACAAGTAATTACAATCTCATTTGAGACCATCTTCGGCGGTTCATGGATGCGTTTTGTGTTAACACCGTAAATTCAAAATATGTTTTACCTCTATGCAAGGGAGGTAATTTATGCTATTTTTTAAAAAGATTTAAAAAACAATTTTTTAAATATTTTTTAATTGTAGTATTTTAATTTAGTATTTTTTATTTAACATTTTAATGCTACAAACATCTAAAACATTTGTCGCTATACATTTAGTTGA